CGTTTCTAATGCAGGATGAGGCTGTTTATCAGAGTGAAGGCTCTGTGAATATAGCTTGTGTTCAGGTCTTCAAAGTCTACATCTTAGATAATTTCTTTAAAACTTTAAAAATAACAATTTCATTTAGTTTTCGTCATAGAAGTGAACCAAACGCTGAGATATAGGCCTACTTTGTTGACCCCTCATGGGGTTCCCAACCCCCAGATTGGGAACCACTGCTCTAGACAACTTTGCAAGTTTTCAGTTTAGGAGAGAAACACATGACAGTGATTATGTTTTTTTTTTTTTTTTTAATCTTAAAAAAGGTCAGTTTTTGAAACAAACAAAATCATTAATCATTTAAAAGATATAGATCAGTTAGAAGCAAATCATTTTCAAAAGTCTATTTACAAAATATAATTACAGATAGGATTAGTGCCGTGTAACCATGTGGTGTCCAGTGTTGGTGGCAAACTGTGTCACTACTTCTTGCTCAATATTAAAAACAGACACAGCAAATAAAAGGGCATGAAAAGAGAATAAGAAGGAGCCACAAGAAGGCAGCAGTAGCTTCAGAGTCAGTTGTTCAATGCAAAAAAAAAACAAAACAGCAAGGTTAAGTCTTCTCTCAAATGGAGGAATCCACCTTGGAAGCAGGCAGCAAATTACTGCTGGTGTTTTGTTTAGTTTGTACTTCTGTAGCTTGTTTGCATCTGTAGTAACTGAAAGAACTGGCTTATTGCTGTAAAGCCCAAAAAGAAAAGAAAGGAGCCACTTTGAGTAGATTTTGCATTATATAGGATGTTGGTTAAGGCAGGTCATCATTTACATACACATGCATGTAGATACACAGGTTCACATGGGTCTGCAACACTATTTGTGCCACTTTGATTTAAAATAGTAGTAATCCTTATTCTGTAGAAGTTCTTGAAAAGCATTCTGGGAATTTAAATTTCTAACTAAAGTAGACCGAGGTTGAGGGAACTGTGAACATTGAGGGACACTTTTACTCTTACTACTACTCTTCTTACTTTGTATTTCATAGGATCACATCACATGACAGTGGTGTTGTCACTGTCCTCTCAACAGCTGCTGCCAGATTCAGCAGATAGCACCAAACAGCAACCTCTGGAGCTGCAAATGAAGCCAACGAGGAAGTGCCAAAATCTGCTACCAGGAGCTAACGGGCTAAATTTGGTAGGTGTCAGAGGGTACATGACTGGCTGAAAGGTGAGGGGCAGTGACCATTGACAATGCTACTGTCATGGAAAGTGATATTAGGAAATAAAAGCTGACTTTTGAAGAAGGGTACTGTCTATCATGAAATAAAAAATAAACACATATCCAAAAAATAATAGCCAATAAAATTATTATTATACAAGTTCAGTTTCAATAACTTCAATTTCACAAATTGTTTGTTCATGTATATAATTTACACAATTTATTCATCTGATTATTTCTTTCATGATGTCTTTTTTGTTTGTTTGTTGATGGCTTCATTGACTTCATTTTCTTTGTCCAAACTGTTGCAGTGCAGGACAATCAGCTTTATTTAGTGAGCACAATTGGTCAGTGTGGTGAGGTCTTCATTTAAATACCTTTCATTTATATATTACGCTTCCTACACGCAAACACAAACCAAAGGGCAGAAACAACTAGGAATGCCCCAATTATGTTTTGTTTTTGCCGCTGATATGAGCCTTATTGGCCGATGCTGATGGTGTTTTTGTTTTGTTATAGCAGCTGGTATAGCAGTAGCACTGCTTTGTAGTGTATTGGGATCTCCACCATGTGGCAGTGACCTGCTGAGCTCTCAGTCGCATGCAGGAGAGGCCGCCAAGATTATTGTTTTTTTTTTTTTTTCTAGTTGTTTCATATAAAGTGAAACTACCTCTTCATATGTGATTAAAAGTAAAACACAATTGTGTTTCAAAAAATTTATTTTGTTTGCAAAAAAAAAGGCAAAGGTCAAAGGTTCCCACAAACACGCGGTTGATAAGGGAGCAGGTTTGACACCTTCATTTGTTGTTTGGCATTTGTTGAACAACAACAATGATATAATTATATATTTGTTAACTATGAGGTTAGTAATGCAAATAATGGAGAAATGGAGAGTCTTTAAATGGGGTTTTTATGCTGTTGTGCTATTTCAAAAACGGAAGCTGTGAGACTCTGTAAAGCGTGCACATCCTCCTCCTGCACACTCTAAACCTAATGGCATATTTCCAACAGGTGAGAAAAAGTCTCACACAGACAATCTCTGGTTGTGTGCTACATGTGTAAAAGGCATAGACTGTAACTCACATGAGACGTATGAAACAGCTCCACTTAGCTGACAATTGGATCAAACCGATCGGTTTAAGTAAAAAAAAACAACAAACTAACAACTTCATATCAAGTTTTTTGCATTCGCGAAAACCGATCCAAAAAACGCAAAACACCTGATCGAGCAATAATATTCAGAGGATATGTTTTTGCTGAATATCATATCGATGATGATCGGCGGCAGCTGATTGATCTGGGCATCCCTACTGTCAATGATTTTAAATACTGTATATCAAGCACTCAGAGCAACCCATACCTGATGATGTAGCACTATTACTATAATCAGTAATACTGTTACCATTCATATTTTGGTATAAGCTAGTGTCTTATGGTCTAAAATGCTGTTTCAAAGGCTTTTCTCCTTCAATAAAAACACTCAGAAAAAGAAATCTGATGGAAGCTCGGAATATCTGGAAGTTTAGTTCATTTTTGGCCTGAAGATGCTCGGCTACTGCATATCAGCTATGAAAATACCTTTAAAGATACACACCCTAATTCTGTATGTATTCTGTAAGTGTCCAGTAGCAAGCTCAAACTCAGGATGTGTAACTTTATTGTTTTATCACTTTAATTTCTGGATTTACCTAGCTTATCGTATTTGATCCTGAGCTGCATGTCTGCGGGGCAATGTGTGCACCTTGTACTCTGTGCTCTGGCTGAGTGTTTGGCCAGAAGAGAACGTGAATGAAGCTACCTGAAAACAATGTTATCACTGGCCTCCTCAGAATGAAGTGTGGGTAGTAGTGCTTGGTGGGAGCTGCTTTGAGAAACAGCTTTTCATTTCCATTCTGCAAGTTTATACTCAGATGGGTGCCCTCCGAAAACAGTCTTCAACCCAGTGCACCTGTTAAACACTGAAGTACCATATGCATTGTGGGAGGCTTTGTGCTTGATCTAATGAATCCCGTTGATGATGTGATTGTGCAGCAGCTCCGGTTCGTGGTTGTGCAGTGTGGGGTTCATCTCCTCGTCTCTCAGCCGAGCGTTCTTCCTGATCTCCTCCAGGGAGTAGTCCTTCACCAGGCTGCCGTTCTCAAAAACGGTCACAAGCAGGTCCTGAAGAATGCAGAGGGCATACAGATGATTCATTAAGTACAGGAGGATAACACTGAGATCTGTTCTATCAACATCCAGCTTGGTGCTTAAAGGGACACTTCACCCATTTGCATTAAGCTTTGTATCATTAGAAGCCCAGTCATATTTTTGAATGGTCGTGCATCATTCCCTCACTTCACCGGAGAGGGGAGAAATACGGATTT